GTTTTGAGAGATAGAAGACATGTTGCACTCTAGTCTGGGTCTTCGTAAAGAAATCCGCCAACTGTAACTCGGAAGGCACATACTGAAGAGCAATAACCTGATCCTGCACACCAGCGCCCACATACAAAGCATCAACACCAATATGCTTGGAGGTCAGGCTTCACAAGGCCGCGCACAATGCTAATAGCACCTGTGCTGTTAGACAATAGTAGAGTAGGTGTAGTGACATAAATACGAAAGTCCTGAAGTAACCACCGTAACCAAGTCATCTCTGTCGTCAAAAGAGCCATAGCTCACAACTTAGCCTATGCACTCGAACGGGAAACTGCAGTCTGCTTCTTCGTCTTCCATGCAATGAGAGAACCATCAAGAAAAACACAATAAGCAGGAAGTGAACGGGGATCCGAGGGATCTATAGCCCATATAGCATCCGAATAGGCTTGAAGCTATAAGGAACCAGCGCGAGGAAAGAACATGTAGTGAGAGGTCGTGCCCCGAAGATATCGGAGAACACAAAGGAGGTGGCTATAGTGAAACGAAGTGAGAGCAGAGACAAACTGACTCAAAATATGGACCGGATAACAGATATCCGGACAAGTGACAGCTAGATAGACAAGATTCCCAACAAGATGATGATAACACGTCGGATCAAACAAGGGGTCATCATCAGTATCACGGAGGTGAACATTGAGCTCCATGGGAGTCTCAACAGTGCGCATTAGTAAGAGCAGCACGAGCAAGAAGATCCTGGATATACTTTTCCTGGGAAATAGAAAAGCCATCAGAGGTAGAAGAGACCTCGATCCCAAGAAAGTAGCGAAGAGGGCCAAGATCAAACATAAGAAACTGCTCACCAAGACGAGCCTTCACAAAGCCTATATACTCGGGGTCGTCGCCAGTGATAATCATGTCATCAATGTATACAAGAAGAGTCCGACCACGAGTATAATGGTGGACAAACATCGCTGTATCATGAGCACTCGCTGAAAAACCAGCGGCAATCACCACAAAGGTAAAACACTCAAACCAGGCGTGGGGGGCCTTGCTTAAGGCCATAGAGAGAGCAATGAAGACGTCATACCATGCCATCAGGAACCAAATACTCAAGTGGGGGCTGCATGTAAACCTTCTCACGCAACTCACCATTAAGAAAGGCTCTTAACATCAAGCTGAGACACTGACCAGTGAAGACCAGAGGTCACGACAAGTGTGCGAATAGTGGTCATATGGGCCACAGGAGCTAAAGTCTCATAACTGCCATGCTCCTGTTGAAAGCCATGAGCCACAAGACGAGCTTTGTAACGCTCAAGAGAACCATCGGAGCCATTCTTAACCTTGTAGACCCACTTACAACTGATGGGACGAACACCGGGAGGAAGAGAAACAAGATCCCACATGCCGGTATGCTCAAGAGCAGCAAGCTCCTCTGCCATCGCAAACTGCCATTCTGGAAGTAGCAAATGCCTCTCCGTCACGTGGTGCCACACGGATGGAGCAAACATAACAACACCCCAGCTTAACCAGAGGCACTTATCTGAAGCCACACCTCGGATAGAACAGTTCTTGGTCACAAAGATGCTTAACAATTGTGCAAGATCACAACCTTTGTCATCGGTGGTGAGCAAGGTGTTGTTGGTGGTGGAGGCACAACCATAACAATCACATCATGACCACTCTCGCTGTCTCGTTGCCCTTCCTCTAGTGCTAACACTACAATATTCTCCAATCATCCAATGTGGTTTAGAAGCTGGCATGGCAGAGATAGCTTCCAATATGAATCTAAGGCTCTTACCATGAGATTGATCTCACTTTGCTGCTTCTCTAACTTCAATAATGCTTTTTGCACGCTTAAGAAAGCAAACATTGCACATTCACTGGTTACTAGATAATGCATGTTCATGTTGAGTAGTTTGTGTCCTCTAATTATGGACTTTAAGTGAAGGACCCTTGTGTCTATGGGCCCCGAACCCGAACAAATACATACACTTTATTGGTATTTAGTTTATTGGTTTTATCCTGAACCAACAGAATCCCTTAAGTTGATTTGCATGCCCGGGGTAAATTGATATTTTGGCTAAAGTTAATCTTCATCGGAGTAGCTTACCATACCTCCTTTGTCATGTAATCCCTTCAGTTAATCTAATGGTGTACTTAGGAACCATGATTTTAGTGGATGAAGATGGTGACTTGCATTCGTAAGGTGGCCTAAGAGAAATTTGGAGTGTCTAGGGGAAGTAGAAGTGAAGTTAAAGGTACCTGGTGGTGGAATGATGCTGTCCAGAAGGCTATTAAGGAGAAGAAAGACTGTTTCAGACGCCTATACCTAGATAGGAGTGTAGACAACATAGAGAACTACAGGATGGCAAAGAAGGCAGCAAAGCAAGCTGTGAGTGAAGCAAGGGGTCGGGCGTATGAGGACCTCTACCAACGGTTAGACACGAAGAAAGGCGAAAGGGACATCTATAAGATGACCAAGATCCAAGAGAGGAAGACAAAGCAGACCAGCTCGTGGTGAAGGACGAGGAGATTAAGCATAGATGATGGGAGTACTTCGACAAGTGGTTCAATGGGGAGAATGAGAGCTCTACCATTGAATTGGACGACTCATTTGATGATAGCAACAGACGTTTTGTGCAGCAAATCCAGGAGATGAGATCAAGGAGGCTTTAAAAAGGACAAGAGGAGGCAAGGAACGGGCCCTGATTGTATCCCCATTGAGGTGTGGGGAGGCCTCGGGGGCATAGCGACAGTATGGCTAACCAAGCTTTTCAACCTCATTTTTCGGGCAACCGCAATTGAGACGGAGTATATTAGTACCAATCTTCAAGAAGAAGGGGGGGGGGGGGTTCAGAGTTGTACTAATTACCGTGCAATGAAGCTGATGAACCATACAATGAAGCTTGGGAGAGAGTCATTGAGCGTCGCTTAATAAGAATGACAAGCATGACCAAAAATCAGTTTGGTTTCATGCTTGGGAGGTTGACCATGGAAGCCATTTTCTTGGTTCGACGACTTATGGAGAGATACAGGGAGCAAAAGGACCTGCATATGGTGTTCATTGACTTGGAGAAGGCCTATGATAAGATACCGTGGAATGTCATGTGGTGGGCCTTGGAGAAACATAGAGTACTAGCAAAGTACATTACCCTCATCAAGGACATGTACGATAATGTTGTGACAAGTGCTAGAACAAGTGATGGCGACACTGATGACTTCCCGATTAAAATAAGACTACACCAGGCCCTTGTCTTTTTCCTTTGGGATGGATGACCACAAGGGATATACAAGGAGATATCCCATGGTGTATGCTCTTTGCGGATAGTGTGGTGCTAGTCAATGACAGTCAGACAAGGGTCAATAGGAAGTTAGAACTATGGAGACAAACCTTGGAATCGAAAGGTTTTGGACTTAGTATAACTAAAACCGAGTACATGAGGTGCGGTTTCAGTACTACTAGGCACGAGGAGGAGGAGGTTAGCCTTGATGGGCAGGTGGTGCCTCAGAAGGATACCTTTCGATATTTGGGGTCAATGTTGTAGAAGGATGGGGATATCGATGAAGATGTGAATCATCGAACCAAAGCCGGATGGTTGAAGTGGTGCCAAGCTTACGGCATTCTCTGTGACAAGAGAGTGCAACAAAAGCTAAAAGGCAAGTTCTATTGGACGGTGATTCGACCCGCAATGCTATATGGCGCTGAGTGTTGGCCGACTAAAAGGCGATATGTTCAACAGTTAGGTGTGGCGGAGATGTGCATGTTGAGATGGATGTGTGGCCACACAAGGAAGGACCGAGTCCGGAATGATGATATACGAGATAGATTTGGGGTAGCACCGATTGAAGAGAAGCTTGTCCAACATCGTCTGAGATGGTTTGGGCATATTCAACACAGGCCTTCAGAAGCTCCAGTGCATAGCGGACGGCTAAAGTGTGCTGATAATGTCAAGAGAGGTCGGGGTAGACCGAACTTGATATGGGAGGAGTCCGTAAAGCGAGATCTGAAGGACTGGAGTATCACCAAAGAACTAGCCATGGATAGGGCGGCGTGGAAGCTTGCTATCCATGTGCCAGAACCACGAGTTAGTCGCGAGATCTTATGGTTTTTATCTTTAGCCTACCCAATTTGTTTGGGACTAAAGGCTTTGTTGTTGTTGTTGTGGTCTCCCACTCCACTCTGTCATTTAAACCAGTGCAGCAGAAGTAGAAGCCATGGTGTTGTAGCTTGGATTCCAAATGTTATAAACATTAGTTCATAATGCGGATAAACAATGCATGAAGGCCTGACAGGTGACAGGGATTGTGAGATTTAGATGTGAGAGAGACTAATTAATTATTCTTGCCTAATAAAAGGTACTGCTCCCTCCAGTTCCCTATATGTTGTCCTTTTGGACATTCAAATACTCTGAAACACAACTTTGACAGATAATTTCCACCTATGTCCAAAACGATAATTTTCAGGGAATCAGAGGAAATAAACGATGTTAACCATTAACAATATTATCTAAGAAAAAAATCCACTCCAGTCTTGCCAATTTTGTTTCAATATAACCGTAATAATGCAAACACACTAACTTACATCCTTGGTATTTGTCTTCTAGTAGTGCATATTAGTATATTTTAAATCATCATTCACTGCAAAGTGCACATAACTTAGCCTTAGATAAGGCCTTCCTTTCTTGATTCTGCATTTGCACTGGGGCAATCTGTTAGCACTTGTCTTATCCACCGAACCATTTGATCTTAACTACGCCTGAGTCTTGCTCTACATAACTGCCGAAACCAATCTTTGCAGGGGTCTCTCCAACTTCCATTGCTGTTCAGTCGCCTTACATTGCTCAGGTACAACTTTTAAGAGATAGACTAGAAGAATATCCAGAGGCTTTGGGTGTTGAGGTGTCAACCATAGATAGCTTCCAGGGGAGGGAGGCAGATGCGGTGGTCATATCAATGGTAAGAACAACAGTTTTGTGCTGTTCTCTTTCTAATTCGTTGAGGTGTCCTTGAACTGCATAAATCATACGTAGATAAAGTAACAGGACACTCCTTTTCCTCTTATCTGGACCCGACAGTATATCAAAGGCAGAAATGAAATGACGTTTGTTTCTCAATCCTGCTAGGTTCGGTCAAACTCCTTGGGAGCGGTAGGGTTCCTTGGCGACAACAGGCGCATGAACGTAGCCATTACCAGGGCACGGAGGCATGTCGCACTTGTGTGCGATAGTTCTACGATTTGCAACAATGAGTTCCTGGCCAGGCTCCTTCGCCATATCCGTCAGCATGGCCAAGTAAGGCATGTTGAACCTGGTTCCTACGGTGGTGATTATGGCCTTGGCTTCAGCCCACCTGCTTTGCCTTCCATCAATTAGTGCTCCGCTCACTTGCCAGCAAATCGGCAATGCTTCAGTATTCTGTTTCTCCGCAAATCGGCAATGCTTCAGTGTTCTGTTACTCCATGGCTCCATGCATATGTCACCGCAGTTCTTGAGTGGTAAAACTGGGAGGTCCATCATTTACTACGGTTCTGAGGCTGGTACTTTTGGCGATTGGCTGTCCTGAATGAACTGTGTGGCCAGACCAAGTTGTTTATCATGCAGTTTTTGCGTTTAGCAGCAGAAACAATTAACTGGCCTGGGGTTTGTTTTTTTGAACTTAACTGGCCTGGGTTGTAATATACTTACTGCTTACCTGACGATGGTTGAATATTATCGAGTGTTGCACACTGGAATATTCGATTACGAAGATGTACACTAACTTGAAATCTCAGGATTAAGGGCTATTTCAACCCAGAATCTGCCCCCTCCCCAGCTTCTAGAACCTGCCCCTCCAAAATCTCCCACAATCTTAACTGGCTCTATGTTAAGGCCCTGTTCGGATCCTCTCCGCTCCACAATGCAGCTCTCAGAGCGGAGGGAGCGGCAGCACAACTGCGGAGAGTGGCTCAAACCGAGCTCCACGCGCGGAGCGGAGTTTCGTGACGGGAGAGGTTCTGAACAGGCACTAAAAGTATAGTAGGAGCTCACAGCCGTACATTACGGTGGAGCAGCGC